AATTACCCAATTTAAACTGAAAATTTATTAGGATATTATGCACGTGCATGTGTGTGTGTGTGTGTGTGTGTGTGTGTGTGTGTGTGTGTGTGTGTGTGTGTGTGTGTGTGTGTGTGTGTGTGTGTGTGTTTGTGTGGGTGTGTAGAAGGAGGACTTGGTGGGAATGCTAGATGCCAAATGGTGTTTTACTACAAAAAGAAATCATCTTAACATTCTGATGCAAAGCCTGAGGTACAACTTAAAATAATTTGTCTGATTATAACATCTGATACATATATTCATGTTGAGTCCGAAGTTGCCATCTTCGGACCGTTACAATGCAAAAATAAATATATCATGAGAACTCATTCCTAATTAAACAGTGGATACGAATTAACACACACACACACACATATATCTCTATATATATATGTACATATGTATGTTTGTATGTATGTACATATGAATGTATACACCTTACCTGCCGTTCCCAACCCCCGTCACAAGCGAGCCGCGGCCGCCCGATCTTCGTTCCCCAGCAGTTCCTCCGTCGCCCTGCTCCCGCCAAGGGCTCCCGCAACTCCGGCCTCATCCCAAGGAACGCCGTACGAGGGAGAAGTCCGCCAGGATCGCTCCCTGATTGGCCAGCGCGAGATATACCATTTATGTATATATATATGGTAGAAAAAAAAAACACAATGCAAAAACGAGATATATTGAAAGTGAGACTACAGTTTCGAAATCCACCTGGATTCCATCTTCTGGTCTGAAGAGGAAAGGGAAAGGAAGGGTGTAAAAGAGAGAGAGGAGAGGCAACGCAGTAACAAGGAGCAAGTGAGGACAGACGAACAGAAGGGAAGGGAGATCAGAACAGAGGGTGGCGGAGAGAGCCGATCTCCTCAGTGTAGGGCAGGCTGTAGATGGGCAGGTGAGGAGTCTTTTTAGGAGAGGAGTCGTTGTAGAAAGTATACCGTGCCCTGGATAGCGCGGCGTCGAGAACATGACGAGGGTAGCCCAGTTTGGAGAACGAACGATGCATGGAGAGGATGGTATGAGAAGAAGCGTATCAACATACCCCTATGCATAGGTTCCCTATATATGGAGAAGGAGAAGTGGTCAGCAGAGCGATGTACTTGGGTGTCCAAGAAGGGAAGCTAGTTGTCAACCTCTCATTTCACCTTGAAACAGACGGAGGGAGAGAGAGAGTTCAGCTTCGCCAGGAAGTCAGAGAATAGGGCAGGGTCATGAGGCCAGAGAGCAAAGACACCGTCCACCTTTATTTGGAGCAGCGTCGAGGGGGGTGGCAAAGGGGCTTCCACTGCCCAAGGCTTAACCTCAGGCGAGCTATCCAGGTAGGCGCTTGCATCAGGATAAGTGGTTACCCTTGCTATCGAGGGAACTTTAGCGGTAGGGAGTTGAGATGGCTGCCCTCTCGGAGGTGAGAACACCTGACAGTGGCACAATCAGTATGGGTGGGTACACATAGTACATCTCCAGGGAGTAGCCATAGCCATCTCCAGCCGACTTCAACCCTTGGTAATACAGGTAACACCGGTTGATGAGCATATGATGGCATTGAGACTGAAGCATGCTTTGGGTTTGGTTTGGTTTTGTCTCTTATTGCTGTGAAATCGCCTACCGATGTTTGCAAACTCGATGTGAAAGAAGCATTCTATGTTAAACTTACATCCATGACAGAAAATTGTCCCCAGTGAGACATTCGCACCTGGGGAACTTCAATGTGGTATCCGGCTGTAATCGAGCTGGCTAACGAGATGTCCCCATGGCTTAGGAGCTGATCCTAGCAGCAAGAACAGCCTCCTTCTACGGGACTTTGCTTGGTCCCAGAGTTTGAGGATTTCTGGCTCCTGGTATCAGCGCTCCAACCCGCAACGCTGGACATGGTATAGCGAAACAGGTATTGTGGTCAGGGAGATCAACCACATTCTTATCATCACTTACTGGAGGATCCTTCAGAACTGAAAGGTTTACTGGAGTGCCAAGTTCTGCGGGTTCACTTCAAAACTCCTCATCCCTCCAGTAGCGACTCTAGGGTGTTCTGCTTGGACAGACTGAGGGGCGGAGGAGTGTGCCTGAAGGTTTGCCACAGCAGTCTCTGATTGATTCATAGAACTTGACAACTTGATGGACCCAGTTGCTCTGTGGGAGTCTTTCAAGTGCAAAACACTCGAAACCTCTGCCATTCCTTGGTGTGTAGGGCTCAGACATTGCTGAGAAGGGACAAGGAACAGTTCATCAGGAACCTGATGAGGAAGTTGAAAGGCCATTTCTTGGTAACTGACCTTCGCACTGCCTACCAGGCCCTGAGACAACTGAACTCTAAACCCTCCTCGCAGATGACAGCAGTCTATTCAGTGGATGGACATATTCGCAAATCAGGTAGACCCTCTAACAGTTAGTTTGGATGCAAGTGGTATCACAGTACCTGTGCCAGATCCACCCATCAGCTACGAACCTCCTACCCTAACTGAGATTACGATGATGATTTCTAAGGGAAAGC